AAAAAAAAAAGTTATGAAGGAGGCAATGTTATTTGTTTGTTTGTTTGTTCGTTTATGTGCTAGCAGTGTTTGACTTTCTCCCTTCCAAAAAAGATAAAAAAAAAAAAAAACGAAAAACATGACCAAGGTAAGTGCCTCTGATGACTAAAAAGCGAATAGTTTTTTTTTTTTTTTAATTGCTAAAACACATAATTACTTATATTGTACTTAAGCTACTTATAACAAAACGTTCCACTTTCTTTTATAAGAGTTAAGGGTGCTCTTATTTAGAGCTATTTTCTTTTCAGTTTTCATGAAGGCTAACAGAAGTTGTATATATACTTGCAGCTTAGGAGTTCTTTAATTTACAGGTAAATGTAATGTCTAGCAATAGGGAGCAGGTGGTGTAGAAGTACATTCCATACATAAAAAAGCGAATAGTTACTATACGGACATAAGTTTTAGTTATCTACTCTATGTAATACTAAGTATTTAGACAATAAAGCATCTGTTGTCTTGACAACTTTCCTGAATACTTTATTCACCCATTTATTTCAAGATGATTTCCAGTCCGCACTCTCGAGAGTTTGTTTAGGTTTTTTGTTTCGTTTCATGTATGACATCACAAAAAGTAAAGATTCGTAACTACTTACATGAAGAAACAACCGCCAGTATGGACGCGAAGCGGTCGAAGCTTTATGCTTCGTGCTTTCTCATATCACTTGATGAAACAACTTCGCAGCTGTAAAAACCAATGAAGCTGTTGGACTAGAAAAAGAATTCGAAAGGCCTCAAAGATAAGGTATGTGGCTCGTAACGAATAACATCGACTCGCATACCATCGAGTGAGCCTTATAAATGTTCATAAACATTAGGATGCCGAGACTGCGTAGTACGGACTGGAAATCGTCTTTAAAATCAAACTTTCTTACGAAGATAATAATTTCTTTCCCTCATCTCAATTTATGCACATAAAACTTAAAACTGTTGTTAATATCATGATATTTCAAGCTAAAAAAAAGCCAGGCAGAAAAATACGATGGCGCTTCATAATGTATTACAAGTCACGAAGAGGTAAATCTACAACTCGCCTATTGCCATTACGAAGAGCAGGTTTTTTGCAAAAGAGGGCAGCTACAGCTGATCTGTATCCTGGTATGCGGATAGCATATATTATAGGATTGACAAGAGGGTTTGCATACAGTAAAGCCTGAACTGCACCATATAAATGACTACTCGCTGAAACGGACAATTCAAATGGACCGTCATCAAGGAGAATATAGAACACAACAACTGGCAGGCACAACAGAAGAGATGCAATATTCACAATCAACAATGTCATGGTCAGTTTTCTTTCTCTACTGGCTGCACCATGGTGTTGAGGCTGCCCTCCACAACGGACTTTAATAGCAATGGATGAGTAAGAAACACAGATGGTCAAAAGGCAAAACAAGATACCTGCAATCTTTGGGTAACGATTACGCGCTCCAGTTGTTTTCAGAAGTTCCAAAGTAATTATTGGCAACCCAGGTCCAACCCAACCACAGGCAATTAGTAGGCCATATACCCATTTTTTTAGCAGGCGATGCCTTAAAGGCCGAAAAGTAGCATACGCCCGCTCTAAAGCAATAAGGGATATGTTAAATATGGACATACCAGGAAAAAAAACAAGTAGATTTTCTACTATATAACCTTGCAAACCTACATTTAGATGCCCCCTCCATACTTCACAGATTACTCCAAACCAATAGAACAGAGCATACACAGCGACTCCTCCAGCCAGCGTGTCTATAACTGCCAAATTTATCACCAGGTACGTGCTACGCTTGCGGAGATTACAGTTTCTTATAAAAACAATTATCGTACAGAGGTTGAGTGTTACTATGGCAACAGACTCGACTAAGCCTATAGTCATCCAGGTTATGCAGTCGGGTGAAGACATCTCAGAGCTCTGTCTTTTTCTTGTTGCTGTTAGAACTAATTACTCGTCTGCCTGTGGAAGGAAATGACTTTGTTTTTGTCAGGTTCTTTTACTAACTGTAGAAGACATGAAATTAACAGGAATTCAATGCTTACATCAATGTGCAGGAAGTCATTTTGTCTTTTGAGGTATTGAAAAACAGCTGTTGTCTGTTGTTGTTTTTAACATGGCTGTTTTTGTATATTTTCAACAATTTGTGTAAACTCCAAATATCGACAGTTAATGCGAAAAAGCTTGGAGGACGTATTGCAAGTCCTAAAATATTTCCTTTGACGTCATCATTTCTATAGAGCTGCGATCTTAGTCCGTCATCAAGGATTTCATGATCTTTACGAAACGTTAGAAATTTGGAGGAAAATAGTCAAAATCGACCAAATGGGCAAAAATAGCTATGAAAACATCAAGATCCTTTACCGATGACATTCTATACCAAAAATTGTTGCCAGTTAATTTCTGGAAAAGTCACCAAATCTGGAGTTTGATTTTGATGCTTTCAAAATTTCAAATTTGATGTGGGCCTCAAAAGGTCCCCCCTCGATCTGAATAGAGGGGTATCAAACTTAATTCGTAAATGAGACAGTCAGTTTTATGCTTGATAATTACCGAAGTTCGGGCGAAACGTCACGCGCTTTTACCGTTTCTTCTTCAAATTGTTTTAAAAAACCTCAACTGACTTTGCATTTGAATGTATAATGATTTCGAAGAACTATCATTATAGCATTGAGCATGTTTTTTTTTTTCAGCTGAGAGGATAAAACTATAATAATAAAGTACCTGAAAAATGCTTAGAAAGTGTTCCTTACCTTGTAAATAGGAAACTTCAATTCCTGATTAGTGGTTTTAGTGGCAACTCCGACAGTAGAATACAGTCACTCTGCAAAATGTATCGTCGCGTTTTTACTTTAAACAGTGAAGTAACAACTGCTGCAAAATAAACGTCAAATTGCATAACTTGAAGACAAGTAAGTAACCCGGCCATTATAAACAATTATTGGATGAGGTTTTTGTGATATCCAGAATAATCAAGGTCGAGGTAGGGGTTATCAGCCGAAGCCGAAGGCTCACTAAGTGATCGTTGCTATTCCTTCTAATTGTTTTCATTCTTGGCGTTTTATTCTCGTTTTCGGCGGTAACAGAAAAAGTTCCGGAAGATCGCTTACAAATATTTTAAGGCTACAGTTAAGGCGAATTTGGGGGAAAACATTTCCATTTGAAACTTTAAAGTATTTGAAATTTTAAAGTTCAGAGTTTCTAATTACGGAAACGCTCGGAATACCAAATTTTGAGAACGCAAAGGAGTCCACCAAATACGACGCAGATCAAACGCAGATCAACTTCAAAATGTTTTGTCGAACGCGTCTGTTCCAAGGAATTATCTCTAACTTATTTTACGGATACGATTCTTCTCAAAGGAGGTCATGACTAACATAAATTAATAGAAATTATATTATTATATGATGATGTAATTAAATAAAGTAAATAGGTAGAAAGCCTTTATAGTCGGTAGAAGCATGTGGATATGAAGAGGTTGATAATGGCATTATTGACTTTATTTATTCGGTTCAACTAGTCTCGACGTTTTTGCAGCTAAAAAGAGCTCTATTAAATTCGAGAGGCAAAAGTCCAGTTTTGCAGCTGTTTCTTTTTTTTTTTTTTATTTAGAATTGCATAAAATACTTAGTCCTACCAACAGATCACACGGGACGTGAAATTTTAATTCTATCATGTTTTCAGATATTTGACTGTTCACAGCGACGTTAATAAAAAAGAATTGATTTTCATTGATATATATATAAATATTACCACTGCCTGCTTAGCACTGGTCTAATTCCCTTCTGCGTGTTATAAAATAAAATGTGGAAGCGAATTGACTGCAAACTTAAGAGTGGAAAACTTCCCGTTCGGTTTTGAAGAGCGATTGTAATCAACCATCAAACATTTGATGCCAACATTAGAAAAATTAATTTCTCTCATATTCTAAACTTTATTACACCTTAATCTGCGACAAATTGCAGCACACTTCGTTTGGCTGAATATCGATATATTTTCTGGAAAATCGATAACAACTGAGTTCCGTCAAAATGCGCACACAAAATAATTGGTCAAAAAATTGTTTGTCACACAAAATAATTGGTCAGAAATGCGGATTTTAAGACATAAGGCTTGCTCCTTTGGATCCCCACAGTAATTTTTAGGGAAATAATTCAGACTGATGCGATCGAATTTTTCTCGGCGGTGGAGATAATAGCATAATTTAGGCTTCGCCAAAAATCTTTAATTCTGTCGCAGTATAGCGTTAAATCTTAAATTAATTAAACTTCAAAACCTCTAACCTGCGTTTAGTTGAGTCAAAGGTAGTCAAGGTACACCAGGCCGTTTAAGGTTCGGACAGTTTTGACAAGAGGATCTTTTGTCCCCTTTTACGTTGAAAAAGCAGGCCTTGACTGCCTTACACAATCATTAACTTTGGACCGCAGTCAAACCCCAAATGCCCATGGGAAGTCACAATTATTGGTAATTAAGAAAGCTTGGACCACGAAATATTAAATGGCCCGTTAAATGTCCTTAAGGCATGTTTAAGTTTTAATAAACAAGGTTCGGACAATGTTGTCATATTAATCTCCTGCTTTAGCAAACCTGCCCTAAATTGTTGATTTTAGACCAGAGCCTTCGGCATATTTTGCCTATTAATTCGTAACAACTCGTTATATGTTCTTTCTAACTTTCGAGAAGCTCCCACTGTTTGACGATCAATTTGTGAGGTGCTTGTGACTATTCCGTGTTCTTTTAATATACTTACCACGTCAAAATGAATTTTTTGCCTAGTTCTGCCTCTTGCTGAAGCACCTTCAAAACGGGTTTGAAACCTTTAATCAAGTTTTTCGACTCGGTCCACTGATATTTACTTGGTAAACAATGCAACAAATTTGCGAAATACTAATTTTAGCTCCAACTTCCTTTCTCCTGTTTCTTGGAAAGGTTTCAAAATCTCGAATGTTTAAAATTGTTTGAAATTCTCTTCAGTCAGGCTTCGATTGTCTTCATTTACTCTCACAATATGAATCACGACGAAAACATTTTTCCAGTATTGTTTAAGAGAGGTAACTACTCCAAAATCAGCAATTTGTTGCCGAATTTTGCAGCTTCAAAACATGTTTGTCACCGTCGACCATTAACTATCATTTACGAAGCAAACAATGCAACCAATACAATTTAAATAATGTTGTTTTAGCTTTAGCTACGACTTCCTTACACCTGCTCTAGGGAATGTTCTAAACTATAAAATTTTTTCCTTTAGATTTATTTGTTCAAATTAAAATTTGTTTTCAGCTATGACCTTCTTTTGCTAATTTCGCTTTTATCTTTGCGGAACCACTGCATGCAACAGTGTTCGTTCTAACACCGTTTGGTGAAGACATTGCATTGGTTTATGTGTTAGACAAGGTTATATCGTCTCTCGACCGATATGTTCACTCACATGCATCAAGAGAATTAAACGAATCTTTCCTAGTAGGCTAGTGTAATATCAAAGGCAGTTATTTTCCAAGACTCAAAAGCAAAAAACCATTTTTGGTATCAAAAACGATGAATGAAAATCGTTTGTTTACCACTCCAGCTTGACATGGAGAATCTCTTGATCCGGTTGGTTTGGAAACAGAGATCAGTATCGCGGATTATTTTTGCATGGATCTTTAGTTGGATAGTTGAACTGTAAGAAAATTCCGGCAGGCCCTGGATCCGTCCTTTTCTTAACGGCCACAATCGGACCCCTTCGGAATCCCGGCGCTTTTATTTGCATTTCGTGGCAGCTGATAGCGTGGTTCCTACACTTGCATTGAAGTGTTTTTCCTTGAACGATGATGGGGTTTCTGTTTAATTACAAGAAAGACTTTCAGACAATTCAAGTCCACAACTAGTTTTATGATAAAGAGGAGATTTCCTGTAAACTGGTTGATACGTTAACAAGACAACGAAATCATCCAAAGCCAGATTCAAAGCTCTTGCACTCCGAGCTACAGAATCTTAATTTCAATAACTGAAATGCCATGAAGTATCCTGTTTTAGACCAGTCTATCCTAAATTTGATATCGTAAACATCAGCATGTTGCAGCCTTCCTTCTCTGATAACTACAGTGAATTAATTAACCATGCAGTTCTTGGGAAATGTAGCCAACATGTTGACTTCAAGCATATATATTGCTTTTCATTTATGACAAAGTTTCCCTTTATACTTCAGCTCTTTAAAAGATACCTCCAGGTGGAAAATTAACTCATTCAGTGAGTTGTTTTACCGGAAATCCTCGAATTAGCGCCCCCCTCCCCCTCGAATAGGCGCCCCTCATTTCGGCCAAAATTTATAATAAGAGCTCCCCTCGAATAAGCGCCCCCTTC